TCATCATCATCATCATCATCATCATCATCATCATCATCATCATCATCATCATCATCATCATCATCATCATCATCATCATCATCATCATCATCATCATCATCATCATCATCATCATCATCATCATCATCATCATCATCATCATCATCATCATCATCATCATCATCATCATCATCATCATCATCATCATCATCATCATCATCATCATCATCATCATCATCATCATCATCATCATCATCATCATCATCATCATCATCATCATCATCATCATCATCATCATCATCATCATCATCATCATCATCATCATCATCATCATCATCATCATCATCATCATCATCATCATCATCATCATCATCATCATCATCATCATCATCATCATCATCATCATCATCATCATCATCATCATCATCATCATCATCATCATCATCATCATCATCATCATCATCATCATCATCATCATCATCATCATCATCATCATCATCATCATCATCATCATCATCATCATCATCATCATCATCATCATCATCATCATCATCATCATCATCATCATCATCATCATCATCATCATCATCATCATCATCATCATCATCATCATCATCATCATCATCATCATCATCATCATCATCATCATCATCATCATCATCATCATCATCATCATCATCATCATCATCATCATCATCATCATCATCATCATCATCATCATCATCATCATCATCATCATCATCATCATCATCATCATCATCATCATCATCATCATCATCATCATCATCATCATCATCATCATCATCATCATCATCATCATCATCATCATCATCATCATCATCATCATCATCATCATCATCATCATCATCATCATCATCATCATCATCATCATCATCATCATCATCATCATCATCATCATCATCATCATCATCATCATCATCATCATCATCATCATCATCATCATCATCATCATCATCATCATCATCATCATCATCATCATCATCATCATCATCATCATCATCATCATCATCATCATCATCATCATCATCATCATCATCATCATCATCATCATCATCATCATCATCATCATCATCATCATCATCATCATCATCATCATCATCATCATCATCATCATCATCATCATCATCATCATCATCATCATCATCATCATCATCATCATCATCATCATCATCATCATCATCATCATCATCATCATCATCATCATCATCATCATCATCATCATCATCATCATCATCATCATCATCATCATCATCATCATCATCATCATCATCATCATCATCATCATCATCATCATCATCATCATCATCATCATCATCATCATCATCATCATCATCATCATCATCATCATCATCATCATCATCATCATCATCATCATCATCATCATCATCATCATCATCATCATCATCATCATCATCATCATCATCATCATCATCATCATCATCATCATCATCATCATCATCATCATCATCATCATCATCATCATCATCATCATCATCATCATCATCATCATCATCATCATCATCATCATCATCATCATCATCATCATCATCATCATCATCATCATCATCATCATCATCATCATCATCATCATCATCATCATCATCATCATCATCATCATCATCATCATCATCATCATCATCATCATCATCATCATCATCATCATCATCATCATCATCATCATCATCATCATCATCATCATCATCATCATCATCATCATCATCATCATCATCATCATCATCATCATCATCATCATCATCATCATCATCATCATCATCATCATCATCATCATCATCATCATCATCATCATCATCATCATCATCATCATCATCATCATCATCATCATCATCATCATCATCATCATCATCATCATCATCATCATCATCATCATCATCATCATCATCATCATCATCATCATCATCATCATCATCATCATCATCATCATCATCATCATCATCATCATCATCATCATCATCATCATCATCATCATCATCATCATCATCATCATCATCATCATCATCATCATCATCATCATCATCATCATCATCATCATCATCATCATCATCATCATCATCATCATCATCATCATCATCATCATCATCATCATCATCATCATCATCATCATCATCATCATCATCATCATCATCATCATCATCATCATCATCATCATCATCATCATCATCATCATCATCATCATCATCATCATCATCATCATCATCATCATCATCATCATCATCATCATCATCATCATCATCATCATCATCATCATCATCATCATCATCATCATCATCATCATCATCATCATCATCATCATCATCATCATCATCATCATCATCATCATCATCATCATCATCATCATCATCATCATCATCATCATCATCATCATCATCATCATCATCATCATCATCATCATCATCATCATCATCATCATCATCATCATCATCATCATCATCATCATCATCATCATCATCATCATCATCATCATCATCATCATCATCATCATCATCATCATCATCATCATCATCATCATCATCATCATCATCATCATCATCATCATCATCATCATCATCATCATCATCATCATCATCATCATCATCATCATCATCATCATCATCATCATCATCATCATCATCATCATCATCATCATCATCATCATCATCATCATCATCATCATCATCATCATCATCATCATCATCATCATCATCATCATCATCATCATCATCATCATCATCATCATCATCATCATCATCATCATCATCATCATCATCATCATCATCATCATCATCATCATCATCATCATCATCATCATCATCATCATCATCATCATCATCATCATCATCATCATCATCATCATCATCATCATCATCATCATCATCATCATCATCATCATCATCATCATCATCATCATCATCATCATCATCATCATCATCATCATCATCATCATCATCATCATCATCATCATCATCATCATCATCATCATCATCATCATCATCATCATCATCATCATCATCATCATCATCATCATCATCATCATCATCATCATCATCATCATCATCATCATCATCATCATCATCATCATCATCATCATCATCATCATCATCATCATCATCATCATCATCATCATCATCATCATCATCATCATCATCATCATCATCATCATCATCATCATCATCATCATCATCATCATCATCATCATCATCATCATCATCATCATCATCATCATCATCATCATCATCATCATCATCATCATCATCATCATCATCATCATCATCATCATCATCATCATCATCATCATCATCATCATCATCATCATTTCGAACAGACTATAATTAATTTTTGAAGAAGTTTCATTATCATTGACCAAAATAGTATTCTTCTTCTGGGTCGTATATATATATATATAATATAGAAGGGCCTAGTTTATTTTGATGGTACTTGCTAGACAAAATGTCATGACTTAGAAATAATGTTTCACAATTCTTTGTTTTACCAATGCCACAGTAATTATTCCATTGATTAGTATTGATATGATTGTCTTTTTCAACAGAATGCAGTTAATTTGATGAAAATGAAATGTAGCAAAGATATAGCTTGTGACTTGATTTCACTTGTTGATTTAGCATTCTACACTGACCTATTACCGGGTAGTATGCTGACAGAATTTTATCGTACAATTTTACCTACATTAGTGCGAAAATGGAGGAGGAGTCTCCCTTCCCTATGATAGCACTTATGCCAGTGTGTATGCCATGGGACCTATGGGTCCCCAGGTTATTTATTTTAGGCAAGCATTTAGCATATACTTTGTAAAAAATTCCACAAAAACAGCTGTTACACTTTGATGGCGATGTCATGAGTAAATCCAGATAAGTCAATCGGCTTTACCAACCAGGTTTCTCTATTCTGTTTAACTGAAGGGGTACTACTGAACATTTCGGACAATGATAAGACTTAAGTTCGACTGAGTTATTAACATTGATGTTAAGTATTCTATTATTATCGATTGAGAAGTAAGCTTTCAAAATCTTGCTGAATATAAATCATCAGCCAAGTACTTTAGGCTAGTATTCTCTTTTAGATCACGGTACTTCATGTGAGGGATAACAGTGTCGAAATCTCCATTAGAGTTTGAACGTGTGGCTCAATATTTAAAAATGGGTTTATGGTGGACTTTGTCGGGAGCCTTTCGATAATTTTTCATAAATTCATCAGAAGCTAGAAAATCTCTAAAGAATACTTGGATCATTCTGGAATTTTTAAAATCTCTAACGAATATCTAAAATTACTAACTGTTGGTTTAGCATGTTTTTCCGGAAGGTACTATAATCTCCAGATAGTAAGTAATAATAAAAATCTCTCCCGTTTTCCGTACATATTCTGACCTTCGAGCATAGGCTAGCTGTTTGTACTTAGTGCTAAGCTGAGCTATCGTTATACTTCAAAAGCAATTTAAAAATACTGCTAAATAGATGACGTACCCTATCTGACTTCACCATTGTTGACTACATTTACAGAAAAATTTAAACTAAATAAGCGAGTGATATTTTGTTACTTAATAAGGTACTTTGAAATGTATGGTTGTGTATGTATAATAGAAGCAACAAACTAGTATTGTGACCGATGAAGTTCAAATACTTAGTGAGTGCGACTGTTCTACACTCGATGATATTGTATATTTGTTTAGTTATATCAAGAAATGCTGAATGTGCAAACTATGCATCGTTACATGATGACTCAGAAGCTAAGTATTTCTGTACTCGTAAGATAGCCTGAAAGCCCAGAGGATCGATCACATTTGGTGTGGTGTGTGCACAGTACTGATTTATCTGGTACGGGTGTAATTCATCTACATAGTTCAACCTAGCTTTTAGTGTTTTTTCAACTGATATCAACACATAATAAAATCTATCTTTGAAAATCAATAAGTTTAAATTTAGTAATAAAAAAATTTGTTGACAGACCCAATGAATTCTGACTTTGTTTTTTGATTTTCTAAACTTCAGATAGATATATTCCGTCAGTTAATGATAATTTATCAAGATATCTATTTACGCCCAGAGAATATTACATTAGTCGATGGATGTCTGTCACGGATCTACGTGGACAACCATTAGCTGTAAGAATAACTAGTACTGGTCAAAGTGACTCGACTCCAACGAGCTGGTCTGATCTCAGTGGTATTGAACCAATCAACGGAATAAAATGTGTTTTAGACCCGATATATCCTATTGGACAACGTCTAAGCCAATCAGCATCTGTGTTTGAACATTCACCCACACAAACTCGTGACATTACGTCTAATCTACATTTGCATGTAAACAATTTTAATCGTATTAGAAGAGTTAGTTCAAGATGTTTTACACGAAAGCATCAATACAATACAGTATTTGGATTAGATCCTTGTTGGTCAACTTTATCTGGAAGTCAATTAAACGTTATTAACAATAATAGTGGAGTTAAATGTCAAATTGAAGAAACATCACATTATGAAAATTTATTGGAAAAACGTAGTAAACATAACGTTGAAATCGACCTTATTTGTAAAGAAAGTCAAATGTGTATTCCGCAAAAACAATCGAAAATTAAATCGTGTGAATTTCTAAATGAATCTATATTGTCTTGTAAATTATCGAACCGTATTAATAAATCAACCGGTGTTATCAATGATGGCTCAGAGTACAGTAATGTCATTACATCAAATCATACAATAAAACATCATCAAAGAAAGGTTAAATTGTCACCTAAAAAACATTTCCTATTCAAAGAACTAGATCATATCTGTATACCATCAAAAAAGTTTATAAAACTATTTAAATTCAAACGTAAAAAAGATGCTCATTCTATTAGTGAGAAATTTGGAACACAATCACAATTAGAACTAGCTAAATCTGTAAAAACCTTATATGATGTTGGACAAAGTTTACTTGAAAATTCAGGAGATAGTGTAAGTAATCTGAACATACTTGAAATTCAACAACAACAACAACCATCATGTTCATACAGTACTACTGATAAATTTAATCTAAGTTGTTTAAGTATCCACGTAGATGTGGAGGAACAACCTATCAAAGATACAAACAATGATGATATTTTTCACCAGTCACAATGTTTACAAGTCACACCAACTCAATCAGCGGACTTCTCTGACTCTGGATTATGGAGTATGAGTCAAATGGCTACTGAAGATTGTACTAATTCACTACAACAACATCTCATATCATGTTCAGAGAGTCCAGTATTCCATTATTACACCAATAGTGACAATAATGATTATAATAATAGTGATCAAACAAATGAGATACGATTACAGAAATCAATCACAAGTCCAACAAATGAATCAAAGTTTGCAGAGATAAGACTATCACCATGGTCATCGTTAGAAATAGGAGATGGTCAACGGAGTAAAGAATTCAAATTAGGAAAATCAAATCAACCTACTGATGCTACTACTACTATTACTACTACTAATAATAATAATAACACCAATACTACAACTAATATATCAAATGAACATGGATTAACTTGTATTCCTTTGAACCAAAAAGCCGGTGTGCAAAATGATACATTTTTATTATTAAACTGTAATTCTGAACAATTCGTCAAAGATCAACTATCAAATCCTTCAGTTAGTAATATAAACGAACTTAGAACAAGTGAAGCTTTAAAATTATGTAATAATGATAATAATAAAAATGTAACTCACAACTTTAATGGTCCTGTGAAAAGCCAAATGTCTTGTACACTGAATTTGAAGCCTTTTAGTTCAAATTCAACCTCTTTCGAAGAGAGTAAAAATGATAATGAATCATTACACTCTCGTATTTCGAAATCAAAACAAAATTCTCCTCAAAAAAATTATGTTTCGTCAATTTATCTTTCGAAAACACATAATAATAATAGTGACAACGCATCCTCTAAAGATTTTACACAACTTTCGACTTTTCAACAAAATTCAGTAATTTCGCGAATTGTGCAAAATAATAGTATGTTGTCAGAGTATAGTTTACCTTATAGAATATCTACAACATATGATGTAATTCAGATATTCCCTACTACAAAAATATATGATATAAATAAAAAATCTGAAAATAATTTGTCCACTGTGAAAGTTACTGATTATAAACGATCTATCGGCACTCATTTAATAAACAATAATAGTAGTTTGAATGTGGATCCCCTTCGAATAAATCAAGATATCAAAGGGATTATGATATACCCTACATTAGAACAACAAAATCCCTACTCTAATGAATCAACTCCGTTGAATACAGATCAAATGATGATAATCAATTCACAAATAGACATTAACGTTAACTCTTCCAAGGACTTATCATTAATTAGTGTAGAATGTGAGAATAATTCGACATTTGATTCAGATATTAGACAAAATATGAATCCCTGCGTTATAAACAACATACAAACTTTAAAAAAGTCGTTGATGGAGTCAGAATGTACAACTCACTTGCCAATATCATTGAGTACTGATACATCTGAAAATAACCATTATTTAAATAAAAGTTTCATTCAGTCACTGGACAATAATGCGGAAAACCCTGAATACCTTAACGTTGTTACTGACCATCAAACTAACCAATTACAAGTTACAAATAAATGTTTGCCAAAGCAACCCAATGAACAATTGACAACGACGCGAATTATTGAGGATATCACAGAATTATCGTCCGCCCACGTTTCTACATTATTCAACCAACAAAAGAGGGATCCATTAATTATTCCTGATCATGCACATGATGTACACATAGATGAACGATTAAGTGTCGGTCCACTTAACGGGTCCATCAGTGACCAATTAGCGAATGATCACTCAATGCCGTCAACCCAGGTGAAACAAATCTTTTCATCTATTACGGAAACATCACATGAAGATAGGAAACCATTATATTCGAAATCAGATTTGAATAATACCCGAACCTTGAATGACAATTGTTTGTTGGATAATTCATGTCAAAATTGGATGATGGCGTTATCAAATGAGCTTACCAATAGGATAGATGATTCATCGGAAACGAAATATGATTTTGATCAACTAACCAAAGGAATGTCAAATGACAGCAAAATACTGTCCACTGATCTTGAAATCAACAAATTACCAACCGAGAAAAAGGTTTCTTCAGACGAAATAAGTCAGTCGTTGACAATTTTACAACCCCATAATGAAAACGTAGAAGTTTCATGCGATAAGCTTCATACACCTACTAAATGTCACAACAGAAAGTTTTCCTTGAACGAGGAGGATATTTCCATTGATGTCAGCTCGACCAAAGGTGATCATTTACAAGATCCACATGATGAACTGACTAATAGTGAGCAACCCTTTGTGACTAGTACCGCTGAATCGATATCTTCAAATGTTAATACATATTATACGGATGGAACGAATTTCTACGTTACTGAACCGTTATATGAGAATACCACAATCGATTTGACAAACCTAACTCAGTCAGTAAGAAAATTATCGATTAGCCTTGATAGTCTCAATAATAATGTACTGGATATCGACGCTCAGTTCAATAAAGTCATTAAAACAGTGAATGGTCTTATTGACTCTCGAGTTAAGGATGTTTTGCGAAAGTGTTCGTTAGAGAACATGAACACTTTGCCAACTATAATTGACACAGTAAGTTCTTCATCCATACAAGTTCCATTATTAATCAAAAATAAGCCTGTAAATTGTTTAATTAACAATATCATATTAAATGAAGACAGTTTAATTGCAGAAATGAAATTATTAACCACACTAAATAAATTGCTGAGTGATTACACAATTACCGACTATCCACTCGAAGAGAAGAATACATCGAGTCTGTTGTCATCTTCAAATACAAATAACTATTCTAGACTGAAGATGGATCATGAAACTAAGAATCATTTCAAAAAACCATTTTTTGACGTGCCTTTAGAAAAACAGTTTCACCATGGAGATCTTGAGAACATCACTGCACCCAGCAACAAAAGACATAATGACAGCTTACAAACTACTAGTAATGATTTTGTTCCACCGAAAAATTCAGGTGAATTCCACGAGTTAGAACAAACTATTGAAGACACTCCAGATTATAATGATAACGAATATTATCCAAATACATTGACCTCGTCTGATAATCCCATGACAATAGAACCTATTACAACTACAGGTACTACCGTTGCTCAATCTCCAAACCAATCTACTACAAATTCAAGTTCATTATCAAATGTAAATGATAATCTTGGAGATGATACTTTCACAGAACACTCTTCATTATTTCCCATTGATTCAGTAAAACAGTTTAACGTTTTGAAAGTATCAATACCAGATAATACAGACGGTTCAATATTCAAAAAATCTGTCAGTATGATTCATAAGGTAACTAGAGATAATGCTGGACGGTTGATTAGTCTGCTCGAAAAAAATACAAAATCTACTAATCAGTTAGATTTAACATCCAAGGATGTATTTATCGAAAATAAATATACATGTACAGTCCCATTGATTGCATCTCATCATGAAGAGGACTGTCATCAACCACGTAGCATCGACTTGTCTGAGAAAACTGTTAACTTACTAGGATTTGATGACTCTTTCTTAACTGGATTACTACAAGCAGCTGACGAAGATTTACTTTGGACCAAAATTAACCATTTGCAGTATCCACATGACCAGAGAACTAATAGTGAGAAGTCGTTTACGAATACTACCGCTGCATCATTATCTTCAAATGTGAACAAATATTGTTCGGACGGAACGAGTCTCAGTGTTATCGAGCCTCCAAGTGAAAATTGCTTAATCGATGTAAAGAAATTAATTCAACCTATTCATAATAATAATACATTCAATACTGACACTCGATCCGAGTTTACTAGTCAGTTAGATGTGACATATAAAGATGAATTTATTGAGGATAATCATGCATGTACAATTTTATTGATCACAGCCTATAAAGAGGAGGACTATGGTCCGATGTATGGCATCAATTCGCCTTCAAAAGCGGTTGATTCACTAGCAATTGAAAACTCTTCATTATCTAGATTACTTGAAAGAAATGCTGACAACGATAACGATTATATGGCTAGTGATGCTACTACTACTACTACTACTCCAAGTGTTGCTCCTAATGATGACACCGTACCACATGATTTAATTATATCTCCTACATTTACCGATAAAACAAATATATTATTATCTAGTGATATTTCAGATAATATTGAACTTAAGTTTGACAACAGTTTATCTTCACTACCACCTAGTCGAGATAGTGAATATTCAGTGAATAATTCACTAAATAATTCCTTGGAGTTAGATTTCAGGTCAACAATAAATAAACTGTATTCTTTAATGCAATATGAATATGAGTTTACCGATAACAATAATAATTATTGGATTGATCCTGGTAGTTTAAACGAAGATGTTGAAACTATAGCACAGCCAATGAGGTCGATTGCAACTGAAAACTCTTTAGAACAGCCAGAATGTACATTGAGTATTTATAATACACCATCACAACAGTTATCAGTAGTACCAACAGCAGCAGCAGCAACAACAACATTAACAGCAATACAAAATCCGGTTCATCCAATCAATGAGATTTATATTGATGAAGACTATATTGCTCATTTGTCATTAGATGATAAAAATACGAAAGGTATTCTGGAACCTAAGGTAGGTACACAATACTGTACTGTATCACACTACAAACTTAGCAGTAACCAATGTTATGTATTATAATCTACATTAAAAACTAACTGTAGTTTGAAAACCAATAAACCTCTGAAAGCACTAGACTACTAATTCATCCTATTATGTGGGACACTTGAGTAGTAAACATTCACTACCCCATAAACAATCAAACCTGAATCCTTTAGGTCTCGCGACAAACGCCTAGCATCTAGGCTACGGAATCAGAATCTATTAATTTCAAATTTTAATTCCGATTAATTTGCGATGTTACACAACTATTATTTAATCTCGCTGTTGGTCACAGTTTTTCGCTAGGACTTCAAAAACTACCATTCAAAATTAGTTACGAGTACAAAAGTCAATCATATCGAGTGAGAAGTCGTTACCCACTCATAATATTGGCAGATGGTGTCCCAGTATCATGAATAAATTAAAGTTAAGCTACCACACCAGTAGATCTCGCCCAATGATCTTGACGTGTTTGCATGGGACACCAAAGTTCCTGGATTCGATTCTCGGTCTTGGGTGGTGAATATGCACTCATGAGAAGTTCAGTACTAGGACTAAATGGCTACCCGGTGCTTCGGGATTTCTGATATTTATCTAACTTAGATTGGTCGTGATCTCAATAAAATTATCAAATTAGTTAGAGGATAGCACTTATGTTTCAACACTAATGTTGTTTTCTCGCAAATCATGTTTGTCTCATTTATCTGATAATCGATCCATCAATGTAAGTCATTATTGTTTGCTCAGATTAATGTATATACAAATAAGAAATAAACCACTAAAGTTTCATTAAAATGAATTCCAATATTCACATTGATTATCGTCTGTGTATGTGGAAATGAAGGTATTTATTTACTTTGTAGTTATATTAATAAGAAAAAAAAACACTTCAGCAGTAATAACGATAATATAGCTTCTCAATCACTTTTTCATCATGTCTCTACATCAACTTATATATTGAATTTATAGTGACAAATCAATACTAGTCGAGTGGTTGTGTTACATAATAATGTTATCATTTCACAATTTATTATGAAAATTTTATCGAATGCATAACTAAGTAATTGAAAGAGAGAAAAGATAAGATAGTTATAGAGATTACAGTAATTACTTGTGAAAAAAATCTTCTTAGTAAGAATGGATATCCCATTAAACTCATTAGCATGCACAATAATGAGACAAAACAAAAACTGATGGTAATAATTACTCCAAAGAAGATACTTTTCTCAAAGTTACAGTTTAAAACGATACAGCCAGTGGAATGCTAACATAAAGGCTAAGAGAAGCTGTGCAAGAAACACCCAAGCACTCAAGCTGTATGCCTTTTTTACAATCGTTGGGTGACAAGTACCACCAACAAAGACAGACTGCATGAATTCGCCACATCGATATACTTTTGACAGTTTGACTGTCCCTGTAGAGTTAGTTGAGGACAGTTAAAGTTTATTGAGAGATTTATTCTCATTCACTTGGTTAAGACAGAACATCAAATGGATTTTAATGAGGCTTCCAAAGTTATCCACAGATTTTCATCAAATTTGCCCCATGTTTTATACAATAGTCCTTTGCACACCTCAGAAGCTATCTCTGTTCTCATCCAGAAACCTGACTTATGTAACCAAGAGAAGTTTTTAGGTTACCTATCTCAGATTTGACTATTGACTGAGATCAAACAAAAGTGAGTAAATCCACTTTCACTGGCTTTCCACGTTTCTGCCACTTTTGTGTCCATACATCATCCTAATGTCTGTCTCCATTCTTTTTCAACTCTCATTAGATTTACTTTCCATCAAAGTATTTTGTTAATTATTATGTATTATGTAATCTGACAACTGTTGATCTACATATTTTCAGTTTTTACAAATGATTACTGAAATTGAGTAAATGCTTCTTCTTTCAGTCACTGAGTTGTTTATTTGACATTATTTTTGCAATCACTTGCGGAATGATAGCATTTCTGAGTAGCACTACTACCCGACTAGTATTATTTTATTATTATTAGCATGGGGGATTTGTGAAGACTGTACAATCTTCATAGGTTTTATGTCACGGAGTGACCTCAGTCAAACCACCATCAAACACCTGGAAGCATTCAACAGCCATAGTATGGGACACCTCAGCAATGCATATCCACAACCCCAAAGCCAGGAATCCAATTCAGGACTTTTGGTCCCAAACAAGAACGCTTAACCTTAAGACCACTGAGCAGGCATCCAGTGGTATACATATCTAACTTCAATCAGTTCTTGATATTGAGTGATCATCATCTTTTGTCATCTGTGAATAACTGTCTATGATGTAGTTCCTGAAGTTCTGGTTAGAAGCTTTAACCAGGAGAGTTCAATCCGTGTCGGGTTTGATAAATTTATCCACAGCAGGTTATGGAGGATGATCGCGCAATATTGACTGAATTTAGATATATACATTATTGGTTGTTGGCTCAGAGGTCTTGAGGTTAATCGTTTACGTGTCAGACAGAAGGTCTTTAGTTCGATTCCTGACTTCAGGGTTAGGGATGGGTAATCCTAGAGAGTCCCATGCTAGAATGAAGAAACTTTTACGTGTCTTCTAGTTCTCAATGCTACCGTACTTAAGATCAATGTGTGACCAATACGACCCATATAAACAAACTTTTGTCTTCAAAGTTACAGATTTTAATGTTTGTTTTATTCACCTGGCTTTTTCTTTCTTAAAAAAACAGATTGATAAAAATAATGAAGAACACAAATCAAATCAACGTTTTAGATTCACTTCAGGAGCTTACAATCTTTTTACTTCAGTTTTCAATTTGGGTAAGTTTGGTTTTTGGAGTTTAATAAAATTTCTATTATTCCTATCTGGTAATCTGTTTTTTTTTGACATTGTCAACCTATGAAATCAGATCCAAATGTGTAAAAGTTGTGTTCACCCTCTGTTTCCGTCTAATTTTTTTCGAACATTTCGGACAGAAGTCTTCTTTGTTTTAAGTGTATATCTCATATTTAGATTTAGTTCAAACCGATTCCTCTCTTGCTGTAAAAGTGTTAGTGTTATGAGTGAGATGTCAGTCAATATTTTGAGAAGTGATTCGCTAATTTAGAATCCTGTAACATTTCTCTAACCCACGTACACTATTTCGGCTATCACCTGGTATCCTAAGCTTTGACCATTTATACTCTCCGATTGACGAGGTTAAGCTTGAGTTGAGTTTGATAATAATCTTAACTTTTATTAGTCTAGAACGGTTGTCTTGGTTCCAGCCTAGTCTTTGGTTCTGTAATAGAAGGCAGAAAGAAGCGCAGGAGTGTATTTTATGTGGATCGGTTCAAAAGGTAATATAGATTTATTTCCTGATTTCAATTCTACATGAACATGTAATTATAATATACGCGTAACTACTTCAAAAATGAAAGAGAATAGAGCAAAAAGGTAGATAACTAATTAGCCATAATTAAGGAATAGTAAAACGTACAGAAATAGTTAATGGGTTCAATGAACGCCTATTATATGGACGATATAAAAATACAAAAATACAGTTATTAAATAATTATATAATGAAAATGCAAATAATGATAGTCCGTAAAATAGTGCAGAAAGTTCATTCACAATATTTACTAAGTCACAATAGTTAAGTTGGTAACTTGAACTTGTTTGTTTTTGCGATAGGTGCTTCTTTGATTACGACTGGCCAAATGAATGAATTATGTCTATCCTTTGAATGGATGCTTATGGAAAGTTTTGTAATATACATAACAGACAGTGGTCCAACGATACTTGATTTTCAATATTATTATGATATTTTCTAGCAATCAAAAGGCTTATGTTAGATGCATGTTGTAAATTCATTCTGAGATACTGGAATGGATGTAAATACTTTCAATTCAGGAATTGAAAAGATATCTCTGTGTAACTTGTTTTTTTTGCAACTGTGGAAAATATTACTACTTAATTACGTGTGTTCACAGTTTTCATAAGATGAATGATAACTGGCATTAGGCTTTAGGATAACACATGAATAGGTAGAAATTTACCATAAACTGCTTTCAATTAGCTCCGTAGTGTAATAAATAATTACCAACCAATACAAGATATTCCGAATACCACAGTCAAAAGCCCCATCTAAAGGTCACCAGGAAGCCTTACCAATTTTGATACAGAATGAAAACATTGTAATCCTCCGACCTGACAGAGGCTGTGGTATAGTGATGTGTGCGAATCAAGTAAATGTGATCCTAAATATTTCTATAAGATTGATTATTGATCATTCGGAGGAAGATATGACTGAGGCAGCAGAACAACGCGTTACAAAGAAATTAAAAAAGCTTCTAAAAAGGAAACTGAATGATAATATCATATGTAGTCAGTTGAAACCTGGAGGATCCGGGTTACCTGATTTGTATGGAATACTAAAAAATGAATTTGATGTTCCTGTCAGACCATTATTATCAATGATTAATTCTCCATTTCACACTTTTGCTCGTTGTTTGGTCAGTAAATTAGAACCAATCTGTTCAAAGCTATCTGTTCACAGATCAAAAGACACCTTTCAATTCACTCAACTTCTAGAAAAAAGTGGACCTTTCTGATAAATTCATGATTTCTTTTGGTGCATCATAATTATTTGCCATTAACCCATTGGAATAAACTATGCAAATAATATATCAACACGCTGACCTACTCGTTCTACAAGAGGATGAATTTGAATAGCTTCTGCCAATGTGTATCAATGATATTCGATTTCCGTTTAATAACCTCTTATATCGTCAGATTGATGAATCGGCTATCGGTAGCCTACTTGGTCTGATCCTGGCAGATTTCTTTATGAGAAACCCAGAACAGATAGTAGCGAAATCAGTAATCAATGATACATCGTTGTACGTTAAGTATGTTGATGACACATTTTGTGGACTGTAATGATTATCAGCATGCTTCTCATATACTGAAAATCTTCAGTGTGGCAAACGCAAATATTAGGTTTACAGTGGAACATGAACGTGATAATGTGCTTCATTTTTTAGACCTTGGTATGAAGCGTAATACAAATAGTCGATTGGAGAGAAATATTTATCGAAAGGACACATGGAGTGGACTATGCTCAAACTTCGATAGCTTCTAAATTCACTTGGTGTTATTTACTTGTACCTTCCTATTGTTATTTGGGACTGCAATTGATTAGTCTCTTGTTGGCATATGTGTATCCTGCGCGGATTGCCTCAATATAGCCTTAAATCACGAAATTTTTAAGCAATGATGGATAGTGGTTAGCAGTGGAACTCAGTTTGATGTGCGTTTCGTCCTATTTGGGACTCGTCAGTTGGATGTACCTGCATCCCAGAGTTGATGTTCATTCCAGGACTCGGGACTCCAACCCAATACCATTTGCTTCAGGTGCCATCGCGTTATCCACTTAGATGTCATTTAGACAATGACTTTAACTAACTAATAAAACGTCTTGGTTTATCTATATCTAATTGTGTTCTATCAATTTATAAATATTCTCTTATGCTAATTAATATAAAGCATTAAAATAGATAATTATCACATTAAAAAATCACTGTGCATAAAAAGAAAATAATCATTAAAATTTCATATCTAGGGAAATAATCATTGATTAGTTCAATATGTGAATAAAATAAGTACATAAATAGTTAAATTTTAAACGAAAGATAAAAGAATGTTGTTTTTGTTCGTTTGTTTTAAATCATATAGACAAGCTAATAAAGTGCATCTGAACAACGTAGTCAAATGGATAACAAACCAATCAATGACTGACTGCATTTTCATTTTCTCTTGATTGGGACAGTGTAGTTGAAGTTTGAATTTCAATCCAGATTTCAGTTGAAATTTAAACTATCTATCCTTATACATAGGATTATTGATGATCATTAAGTGATGGGTAGCTTTTGCATTCAAGCAGTCCATCTCCTTGACTCTATGCAGAATCATAATGAAACTAAACTCTATAAGACATGTAGCAAATTGAGGATAGTATATTTCAAAGAGTACTTGAGATTGAGAAGAATTTCTCAAAAAAGTTTCTTTTGAGAAGCTATGACTCATGCAGTTAACCAAACCCTGAGTTTACCTTATATGGATGTATGAGTTTACGTTACAAAAAATTCCAAGAGTAGGGTGAAACATCTCTTTATTGAGTGGTCTTCCAAGATTCTCAATCAATCTTGATGATAAATACCATTGAATTCATCAAATTTACACAAACTACCTAATAAGATAAACTTTATAATCAGTCTTTCATAAAGTATGTACTGTTTTTTGTTTTGATAGGTGATCATTTAGCAGTTTGATTACTGGTATTTTTTTCATGAATAACGTTTCAAAATAATTCAATGAGTAACAAACATTTAAAATAAAGAACGTCACGAATAATGATTGCTCAGAAATTCAATATTTCAGCCCGCTTGGTAACTTATTAATTATTAAGTACGTGAGATATCTCTCGGTCAGCCGAAGGATAGGTATTCTGAGCAGCTGTTTGTTCTATTCTACATTATGTCAGTTAAGCTTGACCTTTTAAGAAAAGGATGTTCATAGGTTACTAGTACTCGATCACAGGTGTCTTCAAAGCTTTGTTTGAGTACACTAGGACCAGTGAGTGAGAAATGTTGGAGTCAGGTATAAGATGCCAAGCAAAAATGACAAGTCGGTTGATGAGGTAGTGATTTCTCATCGGCCAGGTTGGTTGAGACATGTATCAAGCACGTCCAACCACTAGCTACTTCAACGTGTGATGTTCGATGCTACAGGAGCAGGTTAGAAAAAAGCAAGGGGTGGGTAAATCAAAACGTGGCATTAGTCCATGCAGTCATTGACTACTAGTTTTAATCGTGTTGGTAGGTTACATTATATGTCTTGTGAAAAAATTTTGTTGTTGGGCTTTGTTTCCTCCTATGGTGTTGAATAGTTGATGATGGAATCAAGACATCTAATATCCTGAAGTATTAGAAATTAACAGTGAAGTAATTTTAGGTAAATGACTAAAAATCAACCACGTTACAGCGGTTACGCTTGTTCGTTATGTTTATTATTTCTCAACGCTTTATTTAATTTGCTCCTCCTCTCGTCTGTCGATGAGTTCATTTACAATGGTATCAATACACGAACATCAATTAGCAGTAAAATGACACTTCCTGTTATTAATTATTTTAATTAATCTTATGAATACAAATTCGATCACTGAAATTCCAAAATTCTGGATCTCGAAGGTTCGGAAAGTTCCAGTAAATTTCTGGAAACTTGGTATTTAGGCGAATTTCTAGTTAATAGACACGTCAATATGAATGCTATTTAATGATAAACGTGCAAAGTATCAACCAATGACTTGACCAGAGGTCAGCTGAACAAAGCAGTCAACAAGAATCTTAAAACAAACGAAGTAAGACATTCGACGATAGCTATTTACAGAAAAGATCATTACAAAAGGTTGATTCCGAACTTGTGGAATAATTAAATTCCTTATTTCTATATGAAGTGCTAATGACGGTATCCTGAACTCCAGTGAAGTCATTGTAAATAAGTTTCAGAGCCCAGAGAACTCATTGCAATAGAAAGCATCTCCCTGAGCTGAAAATCCGCATAATTTATAGTACTCTCTCCATACATTGTTGTGAAGTGTATGACACTTTGAGTAGATGCAGGTTTGCAAAAGATTTTATGTTGTAACAACTACTTATCATTTAAATGACAAGACTATGGAATTTTATTAGGTTATAAGGTTAAGTTTTATTCATTCACTAACTGCTTACTTTAGTTTATAATGCTGATACGTAAACAATAAAGTCAAACAGATCATGAT